TCACACAGAAACGATCGGTCTAACAATGGAATGTTCGCCCCTCACACAGAAATGATCGGTCTAACAATGGAATGTTCGCCCCTCACACAGAAATGATCGGTCTAACAATGGAATGTTCGCCCCTCACACAGAAACGATCGGTCTAACAATGGAATGTTCGGTGTAACACTGAGAGACAGAATACAACAACAAATTCAGCAGAAATGCGTCTAACAAATGATGACTGATCTGCATGTTCATGAGGGAAAGAAGGATTGGATCCCCTTCACAAAACATGACTTAGTACTTGGTGGCCAATCCCTTGTTGGCCATCACAGAGGTCAGACGTTTCCTGGAGTTGGCCCCCAGGTTCGCACACATCTCAGGAGGGATTTTGGCCCACTCCTCTTGGCAGATCTTCTCCAAGTCATTAAGGTTCGGTGGCTGACGTTTGGCAACTCGAACTTTCAGCTCCCTCCACAGATTTTCAATCAGATGAAGGTGTGGAGACTGGCTAGGCCACTCCAGGACCTTAATGTGCTTCTTCTTGAGCCGCTCCTTTGTTGCCTTGGCCGTGTGTTTTGGGTCATTGTCATGCTGGAACACCCATCCACCACCCATTTTCAATGCCCTGGCTGAGGGAAGAAGGTTCTCACCCAAGATTTGATGGTACATTGCCCCATCCATCGTCCCTTTGATGCGGTGCAGTTGTCCTGTCCCCTTAGCAGAAAAACACCCCCAAAGCAGAATGTTTCCACCACCATGTTTCACAGTTGGGATGGTGTTCTTGGGGTCATAGGCAGCATTCCTCCTCCTCTATACACCCCCACACCATAATCCCCCCTCCACCAAACTTTACACTTGGCACAATGCAGTCAGGCAAGTACTGTTCTCCTGGCCACTGCCAAACCCAGACACGTCCATCGGATTGCCAGACAGAGAAGTGTGATTGGTCCCTCCAGAGAACACGTCTCCTCTGCTCTAGAGTCCAGTGGCGGCGTGCTTTACACCACAGCATCCGACGCTTTGCATTGCACTTGGTGATGGAAGGCTTGGATGCAGCTGCTCGGCCATGGAAACCCATTCCATGAAGCTCTCTACGCACTGTTGTTGGGCTCATCTGAAGGCCACACCAAGTTTGGAGGTCTTTAGCTATTGACTCTGCAGACAGTTGGCGACTTCTGCGCACTGTGCGCTTCAGCATGCGCTGACCCCGCCCTGTCATGTGACGTGGCCTACCACTTGGTGGCTGAGTGGCTGTTGTTCCCAGTGGCTTCCACTTTGTTATAATCCCACTAACAGTTGAGCGTGGAATATTTAGTAGCCAGGAAATGTCACGGATGGACTTATTGCCCAGGTGGCCACCTATCACGGGACCACGCTTGGAGTCACTGAGCTCCTGAGAGCGACCCATTCTTTCACCAATGTTTGTAGAAGCAGTCTGCATGCCTAGGGGCTTGATTGTATACACCTGTGTCCATGGAGGGGATTGGAACACCTGAATCACATGATATGGAGGGGATTGGAACACCTGGATCACATGATATGGAGGGGATTGGAACACCTGGATCACATGATATGGAGGGGATTGAAACACCTGAATCACATGATATGGAGGGGATTGGAACACCTGGATCGCGTGATGTGGAGGGGATTGGAACACCTGAATCACGTGATATGGAGGGGATTGGAACACCTGAATCGCATGATTGGGAGGGGATTGGAACACCTGAATCGCATGATATGGAGGGGATTGGAACACCTGAATCGCATGATTGGGAGGGGATTGGAACACCTGAATCGCATGATATGGAGGGGATTGGAACACCAGAATCGCATGATATGGAGGGGATTGGAACATCTGAATCGCATGATATGGAGGGGATTGGAACACCTGAATCACATGATATGGAGGGGATTGGAACACCAGAATCACATGATATGAAGGGGATTGGAACACCTGAATCGCATGATATGGAGGGGATTGGAACACCTGAATCACATGATATGGAGGGGATTGGAACACCTGGATCACATGATATGGAGGGGATTGGGACACCTGAATCGCATGATATGGAGGGGATTGGGACACCTGGATCGCATGATATGGAGGGGATTGGAACACCTGGATCACATGATATGGAGGGGATTGGGACACCTGAATCACATGATATGGAGGGGATTGGGACACCTGAATCACGTGATATGAAGGGGATTGGAACACCTGGATCACATGATATGGAGGGGATTGGAACACCTGGATCACATGATATGGAGGGGATTGGGACACCTGAATCACATGATTTGGAGGAGGGGCCCAATATGTTCGGCAATATAGTGTATGTACGGGGGCTTTTAATGGAGGGGGCAGGTCACCAATCCCCAGTGTACCGGGGCATTTATTGAAGGGCCGTTTGCTGATCGTCAGTGTTCCGGGACTTTTATTGGAGGGTTGGTCCAATGGCCACCATTGGTGGGGCGGCTGGTCATTAGAGGTGTATACTGCCAGATGATACATTGTTGATCGGAAATATGATTTCTGAGACGGGAAACTCAAAGAACATCTAACTTTGGGGTCCTCTGATTTGTAGTTACCCCCAAAGTCACAAATGTTGCCCCGGTTGGTGGCAGAATTAATGTACCCCACCCCCCAAGTCTCTATCCAGTATAGGTTCCTGGTGTAAGTCATCTGCCCCCAATAGTAAGTGCTAACATTTGGGGGAATGAAACAAATAATCGGTGGCTGTTGTGTATGTCAGCATGAAATATGAGGCTATCAGAGCTCCAGCAAGCGGAGACTTCCCTTCCCACCCAGCAGATAGATGGCGCCGTTCATGTAGGATGACACCATCATTGGGGAGATGATCCCGGCCGGGCTGCCAGAACACAACACTGCTGAAGTGCTATGAAGGTGTTGGGGTTGTCACCCGCCCCCCCCCGATACGTCCTACAGACCAATCGCCCCACTGACCATAGGATCTGATCGTTGGGGTTGTCACCCGCCCCCGATACGTCCTACAGACCAATCGCCCCACTGACCATAGGATCTGATCGTTGGGGTTGTCACCCGCCCCCGATACGTCCTACAGACCAATCGCCCCACTGACCATAGGATCTGATCGTTGGGGTTGTCACCCGCCCCCGATACGTCCTACAGACCAATCGCCCCACTGACCATAGGATCTGATCGTTGGGGTTGTCACCCGCCCCCCCGATACGTCCTACAGACCAATCGCCCCACTGACCATAGGATCTGATCGTTGGGGTTGTCACCCGCCCCCGATACGTCCTACAGACCAATCGCCCCACTGACCATAGGATCTGATCGTTGGGGTTGTCACCCCCCCCCCGATACGTCCTACAGACCAATCGCCCCACTGACCATAGGATCTGATCGTTGGGGTTGTCACCCGCCCCCGATACGTTTTACAGACCAATCGCCCCACTGACCATAGGATCTGATCGTTGGGGTTGTCACCCGCCCCCGATACGTCCTACAGACCAATCGCCCCACTGACCATAGGATCTGATCGTTGGGGTTGTCACCCGCCCCCGATACGTCCTACAGACCAATCGCCCCACTGACCATAGGATCTGATCGTTGGGGTTGTCACCCGCCCCCGATACGTCCTACAGACCAATCGCCCCACTGACCATAGGATCTGATCGTTGGGGTTGTCACCCGCCCCCCCCGATACGTCCTACAGACCAATCGCCCCACTGACCATAGGATCTGATCGTTGGGGTTGTCACCCGCACCCCGATACGTCCTACAGACCAATCGCCCCACTGACCATAGGATCTGATCGTTGGGGTTGTCACCCGCCCCCGATACGTCCTACAGACCAATCGCCCCACTGACCATAGGATCTGATCGTTGGGGTTGTCACCCGCCCCCCGATACGTCCTACAGACCAATCGCCCCACTGACCATAGGATCTGATCGTTGGGGTTGTCACCCGCACCCGATACGTCCTACAGACCAATCGCCCCACTGACCATAGGATCTGATCGTTGGGGTTGTCACCCGCCCCCGATACGTTCTACAGACCAATCGCCCCACTGACCATAGGATCTGATCGTTGGGGTTGTCACCCGCCCCCGATACGTCCTACAGACCAATCGCCCCACTGACCATAGGATCTGATCGTTGGGGTTGTCACCCGCCCCCCGATACGTCCTACAGACCAATCGCCCCACTGACCATAGGATCTGATCGTTGGGGTTGTCACCCGCACCCCGATACGTCCTACAGACCAATCGCCCCACTGACCATAGGATCTGATCGTTGGGGTTGTCACCCGCCCCCGATACGTTCTACAGACCAATCGCCCCACTGACCATAGGATCTGATCGTTGGGGTTGTCACCCGCACCCCGATACGTCCTACAGACCAATCGCCCCACTGACCATAGGATCTGATCGTTGGGGTTGTCACCCCCCCCGATACGTCCTACAGACCAATCGCCCCACTGACCATAGGATCTGATTTCTGCTACCAAGGGAAAGACAAAGTAATAGTGATGTGACATCGCCCTCTAGTGGCCAATATACAAATGATATTAAAATGTATATAAACCCGACCGCTATAACTTCACCCAGATCACCCGCATCACCCAGATCACCCAGATCACCCGCGTCCCCCTTATCACCCGCATCACCCAGATCACCCATATCACCCGCATCACCCATATCACCCCCGCATCACCCAGATCACCCATATCACCCATATCACCCGCATCACCCAGATCACCCGCATCACCCATATCACCCGCATCACCCCAGATCACCCGCATCACCCATATCACCCGCATCACCCAGATCACCCGCATCACCCAGATCACCCAGATCACCCGCGTCCCCCTTATCACCCGCATCACCCAGATCACCCATATCACCCCGCATCACCCATATCACCCGCATCACCCAGATCACCCATATCACCCATATCACCCGCATCACCCAGATCACCCGCATCACCCATATCACCCGCATCACCCAGATCACCCGCATCACCCATATCACCCCGCATCACCCAGATCACCCGCATCACCCATATCACCCGCATCACCCATATCACCCGCATCACCCAGATCACCCGCATCACCCAGATCACCCGCGTCACCCTTATCACCCGCGTCACACAGATCACCCGCATCACCCAGATCACCCGCATCACCCAGATCACCCGCATCACCCAGATCACCCAGATCACCCGCGTCCCCCTTATCACCCGCGTCACACAGATCACCCGCATCACCCAGATAACCCAGATCACCCGCGTCACCCCCGTCACCCAGATCAGCTGCATCACGCACATCACTAACGTTACCCAGATCACCCGCATCACCCATATCACCCGTGTCACCCAGATCACCCGCGTCACCCAGATCACCCGTGTCACCCAGATCACCCGCGTCACCCACATCACACACGTCACCCACATCACACACGTCACGCAGATCACTCGCGTCACCCATATCACCCGTGTCACCCAGATCACCCACGTCACCCAGATCACCCGCGTCACCCAGATCACCCGCATCACGCAGATCACTCACGTTACCCAGATCACCCGCGTCACCCATATCACCCATGTCACCCAGATCACCCGCGTCACCCAGATCACCCGTGTCACCCAGATCACCCGCGTCACCCACATCACACACGTCACGCAGATCACTCACGTTACCCAGATCACCCACGTCACCCAGATCACCCGCGTCACCCAGATCACCCGCATCACCCAGATCACCCATATCACCCGCATCACCCAGATCACCCGCATCCCCCTTATCACCCACGTCACCCAGATCACCCGCGTCACCCAGATAACCCAGATCACCCGCGTCACCCCCGTCACCCAGATCAGCTGCATCACGCACATCACTCACGTTACCCAGATCACCCGCATCACCCATATCACCCGTGTCACCCAGATCAACCGCGTCACCCAGATCACCCGTGTCACCCAGATCACCCGCGTCACCCACATCACACACGTCACGCAGATCACTCACGTTACCCAGATCACCCGCGTCACCCATATCACCCGTGTCACCCAGATCACCCACGTCACCCAGATCACCCGCGTCACCCAGATCACCCGCATCACCCAGATCACCCGCATCACCCAGATCACCCATATCACCCGCATCACCCAGATCACCCATATCACCCGCATCACCCAGATCACCCGCATCACCCAGATCACCCGCGTCCCCCTTATCACCCGCGTCACACAGATCACCCGCATCACCCATATCACCCGTGTCACCCAGATCACCCGCGTCACCCAGATCACCCGCGTCACCCACATCACACACGTCACGCAGATCACTCACGTTACCCAGATCACCCGCGTCACCCATATCACCCGTGTCACCCAGATCACTCGCGTCACCCAGATCACCCGCGTCACCCAGATCACCCGCGTCACACCCACATCACCCGCGTCACCCACATCACACACGTCACGCAGATCACTCGCGTCACCCATATCACCCGTGTCACCCAGATCACCCACGTCACCCAGATCACCCGCGTCACCCAGATCACCCGCATCACGCAGATCACCCGCATCACGCAGATCACCCGCGTCACCCAGATCACCCGCGTCACCCAGATCACCCATGTCACCCAGATCACCCGCGTCACCCAGATCACCCGTGTCACCCAGATCACCCGCGTCACCCACATCACACATGTCACGCAGATCACTCACGTTACCTAGATCACCCAGATCCCCCGTGTCAAGCAGATCGCCCGCGTCACCCAGATCACCCGCGTCACCCAGATCACCCGCGTCACATATGTCATGTCTAGGGCAGTATGTTCATTCATCACATGCGGGCTGAAATCAGCATTCTTAGAACCCCCCAAACATTATTGTGGGAATTCAATAAACAGCGTCAGATCTAGGAGAGTGCTGGGGGGGCCCCCCCCCTCAGTTTTTTCTTTTATTGTGCCCCCTCCTCCAGGTCTCAGAGTTCTTCCACTGATCCATAATCCAGCCTGATCCAAACAATTGATGAAAAGGGGGACATCTGATGAAATGGAGACCCCGCATTCACTATATCCGCTCTCCCCGGACCCCGCATTCACTATATCCGCTCTCCCCGGACCCCTCATTCACTATATCCGCTCTCCCCGGACCCCTCATTCACTATATCCGCTCTCCCCGGACCCCGCATTCACTATATCCGCTCTCCCCGGACCCCGCATTCACTATATCCGCTCTCCCCGGACCCCGCATTCACTATATCCGCTCTCCCCGGACCCCGCATTCACTATATCCGCTATCCATGGACCCCGCATTCACTATATCCGCTCTCCCCGGACCCCGCATTCACTATATCCGCTCTCTCCGGACCTCGCATTCACTATATCCGCTCTCCCCGGACCCCGCATTCACTATATCCGCTCTCCCCGGACCCCGCATTCATTCACTATATCCGCTCTCCCCGGACCCCTCATTCACTATATCCGCTCTCCCCAGACCCCGCATTCACTATATCCGCTCTCCCCGGACCCCGCGTTCACTATATCCGCTCTCCCCGGACCCCGCGTTCACTATATCCGCTCTCCCCGGACCCCGCGTTCACTATATCCGCTCTCCCCGGACCCCGCGTTCACTATATCCTCTCTCCCCGGACCCCGCATTCACTATATCCGCTCTCCCCGGACCCCGCGTTCACTATATCCGCTCTCCCCCGGACCCCGCATTCACTATATCCGCTCTCCCCCGGACCCCGCGTTCACTATATCCTCTCTCCCTGGACCCCGCATTCACTATATCCGCTCTCCCCGGACCCCGCATTCACTATATCCGCTCTCCCCGGACCCCGCGTTCACTATATCCGCTCTCCCCGGACCCCCGCATTCACTATATCCGCTCTCCCCGGACCCCGCATTCCCTAGAGTTGTCATTAGAGTCTCCCTTTATATCAAGTGTCCCCATCAGAGTCCAGTATCATAAGACCCTTTTATCTGCAAATATCCATTCCTGAGCCCCAGGATTTTGCCTAGACTGAGATCATGTCATCAGTCTTCTGCAGGCTAGAGGAGGCATTTTCTCAGTCTCCCCCCCCCCCCCCCCAGTGATCAGACTGTACATTGTAACATTGTAATATGTCAAAGAGTGACAGCCTGCAACAGGGGCTGATCTGTGTCAGACATTTGTGAACACAGCCAAGTACTGCACAGGCACCAGGATTTGCATGATTGTGTCATCTCTGAGCCATCTCAGTTTAGGAAAACTCTGGATGATGCCTGAACATAGATGGCGCCGCCCTTCTGGAGAGATCAGATGGCGGCATTGTCAGGGTCACACGGACACATAACGAAAAAAAATCGATCTGATTTCAGTTCCAATCTTTCGCCATTTGCAGCAAATCCCTGGACTGTAATTCCCCCTGTGGGCTGCAGATGGCGATGGGGGAGCAGGAAAGGATCCCAGCTGATGGGGATGAGTCTGGCTGCAGAGGGGGGGAGGAGGGGCAGATTGATGGCTGGGGGGAGGAGGGGCAGATTGATGTGGGGGGAGGAGGGGCAGATTGATGTGGGAGGGAGGAGGGGCAGATTGATGGCTGGGGGGAGGAGGGGCAGATTGATGTGGGAGGGAGGAGGGGCAGATTGATGGCTGGGGGGAGGAGGGGCAGATTGATGTGGGAGGGAGGAGGGGCAGATTGATGGCTGGGGGGAGGAGGGGCAGATTGATGTGGGAGGGAGGAGGGGCAGATTGATGTGGGGGGAGGAGGGGCAGATTGATGGCAGGGGGGAGGAGGGGCAGATTGATGTGGGAGGGAGGAGGGGCAGATTGATGTGGGGGGAGGAGGGGGCAGATTGATGGCAGGGGGGAGGAGGGGCAGATTGATGGCGGGGGGGGGGAGCTCACACCTCTCCAGGAAATCAGCAAGTTTTCATTTATATCACCTGCAGCCAGAAAGTTCTCACCGAATGTTCTGTCATCCTTGAGAAGAAAAAACTGCACCGTGTATGGGGGGGGGGGGGGGGGGGGGCGACACCGGGGCATTGTCAGTGCCAGGGGCTTCAAACTACAACCGGACACAAGATTTTATTCATCCCTCTGATAGCGACTCCAGCCCTTGTGACACCCTTCCTCCACTGACACCAATGATGGGACACTATTCCTCCCACTGACACCAATGATGGGGCATTATTCCTCCCACTGACACCAATGATGGGACACTATTCCTCCCACTGACACCAATGATGGGGCATTATTCCTCCCACTGACACCAATGATGGGGCATTATTCCTCCCACTGACACCAATGATGGGGCACTATTCCTCCCACTGACACCAATGATGGGGCATTATTCCTCCCACTGACACCAATGATGGGGCACTATTCCTCCCACTGACACCAATGATGGGGCACTATTCCTTCCACTGACACCAATGATGGGACACTATTCCTTCCACTGACACCAATGATGGGGTACTATTCCTTGCACTGACACCAATGATGGGACACTATTCCTCCCACTGACACCAATGATGGGGCATTATTCCTCCCACTGACACCAATGATGGGGTACTATTCCTCCCACTGACACCAATGATGGGGCACTATTCCTCCCACTGACACCAATGATGGGGGTACTATTCCTCCCACTGACACCAATGATGGGGCACTATTCCTCCCACTGACACCAATGATGGGGCACTATTCCTCCCACTGACACCAATGATGGGGCATTATTCCTCCCACTGACACCAATGATGGGGTACTATTCCTCCCACTGACACCAATGATGGGGCACTATTCCTCCCACTGACACCAATGATGGGGCACTATTCCTCCACCGACACCAATGATGGGGCACTATTTCTCCCCCGCTGACACCAATGATGGGGCACTATTCCTCCCGCTGACACCAATGATGGGACACTATTCCTCCCGCTGACACCAATGATGGGGCACTATTCCTCCACCAACACCAATGATGGGGCACTATTCCTCCCGCTGACACCAATGATGGGGCGCTATTCCTCCCACTGACACCAATGATGGGGCGCTATTCCTCCCACTGACAGCAACGACGGGACGCTATTCCTCCCACTGACACCAACGACGGGGCGCTATTCCTCCCACTGACACCAACGACGGGGCGCTATTCCTCCCACTGACACCAACGACGGGGCGCTATTCCTCCCACTGACCCCAACGATGAGGCGCTATTCCTCCCACTGACACCAATGATGGGGCGCTATTCCTCCCACTGACACCAATGATGGGGCGCTATTCCTCCCACTGACACCAATGATGGGCTGCTATTCCTCCCACTGACACCAATGATGGGCTGCTATTCCTCCCACTGACACCAATGATGGGGCACTATTCCCCCCACTGACACCAATGCAGCAAGGGTTAACATTCCCTGTGCTGGTGGCACTGTGAAGAGGTGGTCCCTGCACAATGCACCAGTGCTGCTGAGGGAGTGTGAATGGGGGCATGTCAGGGGGCCCGGGGTACGAGTGGTAAGTGGGATGGTTTTCCGGCTCTCCATTGTGCCGCCATTGTGAAGATTATGATGGATGCTCACTCTAGGGCTGCGTGTTTTCCAGTGTAGAGACCGCCAGCATAGCCACTATGAGCAATGGGGTCAGGAGGTGTGATCGGGATATTTGGCGTTAGTTCAGAGTAGAGTGGTGTAAAAGCACGCCGCCACTGGACTCTGGAGCAGTGGAGACGTGTTCTCTTGAGGGACCAACCACGCTTCTCTGTCTGGCAATCCGATGGACATGTCTGGGTTTGGTGGTGGCCAGGAGAATGGTACTTGCCTGACTGCGTTGTGCCAAGTGTAAAGTTTGGTGGAGGGGGGGATTATGGTGTGGGGGTGTTTTTCAGGGGTTGGGCTTGGCCCCCTAGTTCCAGTGAAGGGAAATCTTAAGGTGACATTTTGGACAATTTCATGCTCCCAACTTTGTGGGAGGAGTTTGGGGATGGCCCCTTCCTGTTCCAACATGGCTGCCCACCAGTGCACAAAGCAAGGTCCATAAAGACATGGAGGAGCCAGTTTGGGGTGGAGGAACTTGACTGTCCTGCACAGAGTCCTGACCTCAACCCCATAGAACACCTTTGGGATGAATTAGAGCGGAGACTGCGAGCCAGGCCTCCTCCCCCGACATCAGTGCCTGACCTGACAAATGTGCTTCTGGAAGAATGGTCCAACCTTCCCATAGACACCCTCCTAAACCTTGTGGGGGGCCTTCCCAGAAGAATTGGAGCTGTTATAGCTGCAAAGGGCGGGGCCAACTCAATATTGAACCCTACGGACTAAGACTGGGAGGCCATTAAAGGTCATGTGTGTGGAAAGGGCGGGGCCAACTCAATATTGAACCCTACAGACTAAGACTGGGAGGCCATTAAAGGTCATGTGTGTGGAATGGGCGGGGCCAACTCAATATTGAACCCTATGGACTAAGACTGGGGGGGCCATTAAAGATCATGTGTGTGGAAAGGGCGGGGCCAACTCAATATTGAACCCTACGGACTAAGACTGGGGGGGCGATTAAAGATCATGTGTGTGGGAAGGTCGACCGATACTTGGGGCAATATAGTGTATAAAAATTGCACAAAATTGCTTCATGCAAAAATTAGTGCAA